CGACCCTAGCACCCGGCCGTGGCGCGCTCGCTACGTGCGAGGCCTACGGCCTTCGGTCAGTCCTCGACCAACTGAAAGACATCTCAACTATCTGAACTTAACACGACTCAACATGAATATAATGGTCCGAAAATGCAACAAACGCACCCTGAACGTAAAAGGGCCGCGGCGGGCGCCCGTGCGCCGCCGACGGCTATACGCCGTCTCTCGGCCGTAACACCTATTCCTTCGGCAACTTCTGAACTACTCAACATGAACATTAATCTTAAGCAATTTAGGACCTAACCACACGAAATAACATGATTTATTCTGAATTTGCCAAAACATGAATTGCGGCCGGCCGCGACTACACGCGGTAGGCGCGAGCGACGGCTTTGGCCAATTGATCGAAAAAACTCCAACTTTTACCGACCAATCTTACTCAACTGAACATGATACTATAATTAGAAGCTAAAGGAAACAGAATTGCTCATAACTTGCTGGATAAAATTGAACTTAACTCGGTATAGAACGAACATGCTCTTAACCGAGTTCGACATGGATTTCTTTACGGATTTCTGAAAATCCTCCGAACAAATACCCTTAAAATAAACTTAATAACATGATTCTACAAGAAAGGAATATTACCTCTCAAATCTCTCGACGGAAAATGAAAGTTGGGTCGATGATTGGTTCGTGTGCGCCCAAGAATGGCTGTGCGTCTATCTTGCCGAGCGATTGTGATGGAAAATTTGGAGGATGCTTGGTTTAAGTTGCTGAATATAAAGGTTTGCTTAAGGAAAATATGTTGCTGAACTTGTTATAGGAAAAATGGGGAAAAATTTTAAATCCTCCCAAGCTTATATAGATGGCCGAATTATGAGGGTGATGACAAGGGCTTGGCGTGGCCTTCTTCTCCTTTCAACATTTGCTAGAACCTCATGCTCTAATCAAATGACTAAGCACCTTCTAAGATTGACAAGTAGCTTAATTTGATTGGTTGAAAATCATCTCCTTAGGCATAAGGAAAGCTCACGGCCTTGGTTAGATATTTGGAAAAATTTTCATTATTCTCACGGCATTTAGGGCTTAAAATAATTAATTGTGATTAATTAACATTAATCACTTGGTTTATGTTTAATTATTCAATTAAACATAATACTTAATTACCAAAATTATTCCGAACGTAAACGGTACGTCGAAATTAAATTTCCGTAATCCCGACTGAAAATAATTAATTCCGAAAATAATAACCGATAACATTATTATATCGGAATTAAAACATAACTTATACCGATAAAATCTCGGGATATTACAATCCTCCCTCCTTACAAAATTTCCGTCCTCGGAAATTCAAAACATAACTGAATACATGAACTATGTACATAGGATAAAGAAATATGTACATCAAAACGGAAAAATTGGAAAACGAGCGCGAATGTCGGATTCTTCTTCCCAAGTAGCTCCGTGGCGATCCCACTGAATGCGCACGAGGGGAATATCTCGCTTCCGGAGCCGACGGACCTGACGGTCTAGTACAGCATCCGGTCGCTCCTCGTACGTAAGATCTGGCTGAACCTGAATATCTGTATGAGGGATGACATGATCAGGGTCACACACGTACTTACGTAACATCGATGCGTGAAATACATTATGAATGCCTGATAACTCGGGAGGTAGGGCTAGACGATACGCGACTTCGCCTACTCACTCGAGAACCTCGAACGGACCGATGAAACGAGGGTGCAGCTTCCCTCTCTTTCCAA